ATGCTGCCTCCTTGAAGGAGAGAGGCTGGCCACTGTGACATCATGATGATGTTGCATCCCTGCAGGAGAGAGGCTGGCCATTGTGACATCATGATGATGCTGCATCCCTGAAGGAGAGAGGCTGGCCACTGTGACCTCATGATGATGCTGCCTTCCTAAGGGAGAGAAAAAAGCCACTGTGACCTCATGATGATGTTGCCTCCCTTCAGGAGTGAGGCTAGCCATTGTGGCCTCATGATGATGCTGCCTCCCTGAAGGAGAGAGGCTACCCATTGTGGCCTCATGATGATGCTGCCTCCCTGAAGGAGAGAGGCTACCCATTGTGGCCTCATGATGATGCTGCCTCCCTGAAGGAGAGAAAAAAGCCACTGTGACGTCATGATGATGCTGCCTCCTTGAAGGAGAGAGGCTGGCCATTGTGACATCATGATGATGTTGCATCCCTGCAGGAGAGAGGCTGGCCATTGTGACCTCATGATGATGCTGCCTCCCGGAAGGAGGGTGGCTGGCCACTGTGACCTCATGATGATGCTGCCTCCTGGAAGGAGGGTGGCTGGCCACTGTGACCTCATGATGATGTTGGCTCCCTAAAGGAGAGAGGCTGGCCACTGTGACCTCATGATGATGCTGCCTCCCGGAAGGAGAGAGGCTGGCCACTGTGACATCACGATGATGCTGCATCCCTGAAGGAGAGAGGCTGGCCACTGTGACCTCATGATGATGTTGCCTCCCTCCAGGAGTGAGGCTGGCCACTGTGACCTCATGATGATGCTGCCTTCCTAAGGGAGAGAAAAAAGCCACTGTGGCCTCATGATGATGTTGCCTCCCTCCAGGAGTGAGGCTAGCCATTGTGGCCTCATGATGATGCTGCCTTCCTAAGGGAGAGAAAAAAGCCACTGTGGCCTCATGATGATGTTGCCTCCCTCCAGGAGTGAGGCTAGCCATTGTGGCCTCATGATGATGCTGCCTCCCGGAAGGAGAGAAAAAAGCCACTGTGACGTCATGATGATGTTGCCTCCCTAAAGGAGAGGGGCTGGCCATTGTGACATCATGATGATGTTGCCTCCCTGAACGAGGGTGGCTGGCCACTGTGACCTCATGATGATTTTGCTAAGGGAGAGAAAAAAGCCACTGTGACGTCATGATGATGTTGCCTCCCTGAAGGAGAGAGGCTAGCCATTGTGACCTCATGATGATGTTTCCCTCTTGAAGGAGAGATGCTGGCCATTGTGACCTCATGATGATGATGCTTCCCTAAAGGGGAGTTTACCACTGTATATACCAAGCACCCTGCACATAGAAAAAATGAATATTCTCCCTAATGTTGTAGTCTTTGACGTGCAAAGAGGGTAATTTTATTAGAGACATTCAAACATGCAGTCTTACTAACTGCAGTCTGAAGAGGTACAGTTCAGGAGGGAAAAATAACCAAAGCTCTCATCTAGTGTACTTTTGTTTTTGCAGATAGGCTGTTCCATTTTGGGTTAGGTCCGACCCTGGGGGTTTGAAAGGCAAGGTTGAAAGGCCACTTCCTGTAAAGTGGGAGTAGCTACCTATCACTCTCCAACTTAACTTAAAAATGGAAACATCTGCAACATACGCAGAAATGCAACAACAGTGAAACAGGAAAAACAAAAACAAATGGAAACTATAAGTGTGAAATCAATCATCAGCGGGAGAACAACCAATATAAGGAGAGAGGAAGTGAACATTTGAGTCAGTGGGTTGGTGGAATGCCTGTATTCATAAGAACAGAAGGTTCACTAGATAAGAACGTTGTTTTCTTACTTTATTTATAAGGGAGTATTCTTTATTGGGTTGTAAAAATGTACTGCCTCTCTGGGAGGGCATTCTTCCTTGCTCAAACAGTCCAGCATATGCCACGCTGGCTTGAGGACTCAGTGAAGATCCTTATGGCCAAAGACTACCTTGGCTGAGGTTGAGTTATTATGAACATTTTATTATTTAATAAATATTTTTGTTCAAAATAATAAATTGTATTTTTTATATTTTCTTGGAAGCTGCCCAGAGTGGCTAGGTTAACCCAGCCAGATGGGTGGGGTATAAATGATAAATTATTGTTGTTGTTGTTGTTGTTATTGATTTCCAGAAGAAGGGAGAACTTATACTGCTTTTAATAAAATCCCCTTTAAGTTTGTGAATTATCTGATCCATGCATTTAATACTATATATATATATATATATATGCTTTCGTAGATATATATATATATATATATATATTTCGTATATATATGCTTTCGTAGATTTTCACGGGTACAGGAATGCAGGTTTTGGTGTCCTCGGGTGTCTTCCCGTGTAAAAGTTGGGGTGTCTAGGCGACGTTTCGACGAGGTCTCACTCGTCATCTTCAGGCTGGTGCTTTCGGCTTCTTGTTACTGGAACAGAGCAGGATCTCAGTGTTTGAGTTCCTATAAATACTGTTGAGGGGGTGTGGTGTATAGCCTCCAATGTTCTGGGCAGAGAGGAAGTTCCCAGGTTAGTGTGCCTTTTCTTCTTTTGTTCCTTAATTACTTGAGGGATATCTTGAGTGATTTCTTGAGTGATATCCTGAGTACCACTTAGGTGGGTCATTAGGTGTGGATTAGTTGCTAAAGCCTTCGTGTCTTGACCTCTTGAACTTTGTGAAGAGTTTTTCTGAGAAGATGGCTGTACTGCAATTAGTTGTGCTCTGGCTTGGCTTCGTGTATAGGGGCGAGCTGTGGTTTTGTGTCCTGTGCCAGCCAGATCTGTGTAGGGATTGCAGGGGCTTCGAAGGCTTTAGCAACTAATCCACACCTAATGACCCACCTAAGTGGTACTCAAGATATCACTCAAGAAATCACTCAAGATATCCCTCAAGTAATTAAGGAACAAAAGAAGAAAAGGCACACTAGCCTGGGAACTTCCTCTCTGCCCAGAACATTAGAGGCTATACACCACACCCCCTCAACAGTATTTATAGGAACTCAAACACTGAGATCCTGCTCTGTTCCAGTAACAAGAAGCCGAAAGCACCAGCCTGAAGATGACGAGTGAGACCTCGTCGAAACGTCGCCTAGACACCCCAACTTTTACACGGGAAGACACCCGAGGACACCAAAACCTGCATATATATATATATATATATATATATATATATATATATATGAGAGAACAGATAACTGATTTCAAAGGGAGAATTTTCATGGTGGTGTATGTCCCTGTGCTCATGTATATGATGTTGATTTGTATTAACAGAAGAGAACAGAAGAGAAGAGTGTGAGGATTCCAGAAGAACTTGAAACTACTGCTGAGTCAAAGAAAGAAACCTTAGAAGACAAATTGGATCAAGGTTACATCAGTGTTATAAAGGCTGAATTGGGTCAGACACCTGGTGAGGAGAATACCAGCTCAACTCTCCAGGAAGCCTTGACAGAGATAACCATGGATGAAGATTTTAATCGGATTCCGCAGGAGACGATGGATGATGGAGGTGAAAGCTGGTTGGAACATGATGAAGTAAATCAGAATGAACATGATACAGAAACAGAAGATGACACGGAAGATGAAGAAGCCACTCCAGATGAGGAATCCAAATCCAGTCAAGAGCTGAATTTGGAGTAACAGTGCAATCCTAACCATGTTTACTCAGAATTAAGTCCCACTGAGTTCAGCAGGACTTTCTAACAAGATGCTGTGCATAGGACTGTGACCAAAAAAATGAAAGCAGCAGCTTCTGAGTTGGTTTAGATTATTCGCTTTCTCTAACTTGCAGTGTTCTGGGGTGGATGATAATGGTGTTTCTACTACAGTTGCTGATTTCAGTAGAACTAAACCGCAATAGTTCTTTTAACTTTGACATTTTCATATTAGGGAAAAAGTCTTGCAAATAAACTTTAGGTCTAGATTTGTCAGTTTTCATGACCCTTTTTCACGACTTTGTTACTCATGAGATGTGCATGATACGACTTACTCAGCTACTGTAATTCTTAAAAACTCATATGGCGGTTGTCACATATCTTTTTGTCTCCACTAACTACCAGATGGTGTCGCCATAGCTTTGGAAACCACGAGATGAATCATTGTGGTATTTTATCTCATTCACTGTTGAATTAGAAAGTTGAAGCTAGAAAGGAATATTTACAGAGGTAATTAAAATATCTGAGACAAGATCAGTGATAAATTAAAACTAGATTAAAACACACATCAATATTTTACATACAGGGGATGCTTGTCTAAACAAAACGTTTTTAGTAGGTGCCCAAAAGGGTACAGTGAAAGTGCCTGCCTGGTGTCAACAGGCAGTGAGTTCCATAGCATAGGTGCTGCCATATTAGAAGATGGATTTCTTACCAGTGCAGAACAGGTATTATGTGGTACCACCTGTAGCAGTGCCAGTTCTGCAGACTGAAGCGGTTGAGTGAGCGTACAACGAACTCGCAGCTAAACTGATCCCAAGTTGTTAAGGGCTTTGCATGCTAACAGCAACACCTTGAAGGGGCCTGACAGCAAATAGGCAACCGTTGTGCTTAACAGACATCCCACACACAAATACCACCCCCGTTTTGCTCCTTTTGCATGCATGCATGCAGTCACATGGCACTCTCACTCCTCCTACACTGCAAAACGACCATCTGCCCTTGATGCTTCCGTTGAAATTCCTGTATTGCAGCGGGGTTGGACTAGATGACCCTAGGGGGGTCCCTTCCTAATCAACAAATGAGATACAGTAGCTCAATTCTGTAGATGATCTTCGGGGTCCCTTCCAACTCTACAATTCGGTGACAACCGGTGCCACCCATGAATGCTTTAGTTGAGATTCCTGCATTGCAGGGGGTTCGACTGGATGACCAGCAGGGGTCTCTTCCAACTCTAAAATTCTATGATCCCGTGGGAAAGGATGCCAGGAAGCGAGTGCCTCTCTAGCCCATTCTATCTCTATAGTGGCAGGAGTCCATCGGCGATCCTGGCAAAGGATGAAGGGCAGAGGGGGGGCGGAGGGAATCGCCTGCGCATGCGCGAGAAGGCCCTTGCCCCCGCATGCGCACGAACGAGCGGGCTGTTTTGTGGCGTCATGGCGCGCTCGGCTGAGGAGCTTGTAGGGCAGGTGGTTCTGCCGGGGGACGCCCTGTTCCTGCCGGGCCACGCCGAGGCGGACAGCGAGAGGCTGTGCTTGGCCACCGGAGGCCCTCAGAAAGGGCGGCTGGTTTGCGGGCCCGGTCTGAGGCGCGGCGGGGAGGGGCTGCTTGTCGCCAAGTGCGGGCTGCTGCGCTACCGCGGCGGCGGAAGTGGCTCCGGGGGAACCTATTGGGTCGACTCTCAGCAGAGGCGGGTAAGGCGGGGCGGGGCAACGGAAGCGGCGGACTGGGAAACGGCGCATGCGTGGCAGGCGGTTTGCGGGGATTCCGCGCCGTTATTTCACACGGAGGAGGGAGGGAGGCGAGCTTTTTCTGGCCACGTTTTCATTTATTTATTCTGTAGAATGGTTCTCTTTTTTAAAGCAACAACAGACTGGGTTACCAAAAAAAGGTGTTTTGTATAGTACTGGAATTTTTAGGTTTTAAAAAATTTAATTAAAAACAGTGCCTCATCCAGTCGCACTGCAGACAGGATTCCAGACAGTCATTAATGTCTTGAACCGCCCTGAGATCTACGGGTGAAGGACGGTATGCCAAATAAATACATTCCCAATTATTATTAAGGAAGGTGGGGAGGAGGACTGGTTTCATAACAACCGCGTTATTTGTTTATTTCATAAGAATTGTAAAACTGCAATAACAGTCAAAGCAGTTTACAAAAAAAAAGGTGCTGTTGTTTTGTACAGCACTGCTTGCTTTATTTTTTTATATTAAAAATGTTAACCTCATCCAGTAACGCCTCTGGTAGGAGATCTGTATAATCTTGATACCCCACAACTTGGAGAATATTTTATTTGAACACCTTTTCAGCTAGAACAGATATTAAGCACTTTCTGGAAGCAGTTTTCCGTAAGAACCCACTTTGGCTAAAGTATTCATGTCAGAGTAGCCCAAGAGAGTTGGAAACCAAGCATTTTGCTGTGTTTTTATTTCATTATTATGTTAGTCACTATGTATAATAAACACGATTTTAGCGATTAACTGTACTCTACCAGGATGCAGAGTGAAATTGGATGAAGTGTAGTATGAACCTTTTAAGAATACCCTATACTTCATCTCCATACACCTTATGACAACACTGTAAGGTCTTATGCCCAGATTTTGTATGTGTGTATATATGGGCAGAATGGTTTGGATCACATGCTGCACCAAGGTAAACCATAGTTTAGCACAAACATACGGGCTGCTGCACCAAGGTAAACCATAGTTTAGTACAAACATACGGGCTCCTGCAGAGAACAGTGTGTCCACTTTGCCCATTCTTGGTCATTCTGCTGCTACGCTAAGTGGATTGTGATGATGGATTGTGTTTGAGGAGCATACTGTGTAATATCGGCATTTTGCTTGTTTTGAAGGCTAAAGCAATCTGCATATTTAAAATTACTTTCCTCCCTTGCTCCCAAATTCTTTTCATGACTAGTATGTTCCAGTCAAGGGAGACCATGTGATTGGCATAGTGACCACCAAAGCTGGGGACATATTCAAAGTGGATGTTGGGGGAAGTGAGCAAGCATCTCTATCCTACTTGGCATTTGAAGGCGCAACCAAAAGAAACAGACCAAATGTGCAGGTGAGGAGTCTGAACATGACTGACAGCATTGATTCTCTAAAGCTACATTCTATACACAATTTCGTGAGAGCCTCGTTGAGTTCAGTGTGATTTACGGCAACAGACAGGATTATGTTGTTCAGCTTGTGCTAATTATTCACAATGGTAATATTGAGTCAATACCTCTCCTTTAGTCGCAATGTTTTATCAGTACATCTCTTGTGTGAACATGTTGAAGGAGATCACGTACACCATGGGCAAAGAGTTTAAATTCCTTTGCATGTTGCTCCTCCATCTGTCAATTTATGACAAGAGCTCCTGATCTTTGGAATATGCATGTGGTAACAAATTACTCATTGTCATGCTTAGATAGCCAAGAATAATAGGAAGAGGCTTTGCCTGTTTGGGTTCCTTTTAAAATCAGTGTTGGACAGTTAAGAGTCTGATGTTGGATTTTCCTTTTATTGCTGGACTATTAACACTTAAGCTCGAATGTCTTTTGTTGTTCGACAATATTTTATGTCAGTTGACCGACGTGCCAACACTACATCTCACAGACTTTTGTTGCCCTGTTTAATGAGAACAGCAAGCAACTACATGCCTGGCAAAATGATTTCTTAATAAAACTCTTCATTTGCAATGTAACATACCCTCCCACATTTCAGATGAATATAGAAACATTCTTGTGTAACGAAGCTAAATGTATTAAAGTTGAACATGATACCTTTCATAAGAGTTACACATTCAGAACCTTTTCATCTATTTATGTATATTTTTTTCATTAGGTGGGAGACCTTATTTATGGACAGTTCATTGTTGCCAATAAAGATATGGAACCTGAGATGGTCTGTATTGACAGCAGTGGCCGAGCGAAATGGAATGGGAATCATTGGACAAGATGGTTTCTTATTCAAGGTGTCATTAGGCCTAATAAGAAAGTAAGTGTGACAGATTTCTAACCAAGTATTTTGAGCTTGGAAGTTCCAGCTTAGATTGCAAAAGCAAATTACATGTTTGGCAGTGCAGCTGTTATATGCGAACTAGGATTAATATCACTTTGGCATTTTAATTGCATGCCAAAATTGACGTAACTAAAAAAAAGGATGTAGTAACTGAAGACTACTAATCAGTACAGACTTCTATCAGGGTAACTGATACAAACTCTTCCAGGACTTTAGTGCTTTAGATGTGAGAGGTTATGTTTTTCTTGAAGATTCTGTGCATATACAAAACTAAAATGTTTGGGAAGAAAGCCAAGGAAGAACTTTTCTCCCTGGCATGTTTTTGTTGCACAAATAATATGTTAATTTATCAGTCAGTCATGCAGTTTCTCACTCTGCCCCTAGCCCTCTTGACCAGAAATCTAAAGAGTGACAGTCCCATGAAAATGTTTTATACCACCTCATCTTAGTGAGATATAACCTGATAATGGGCATCTCCCAAGTCCCAAAATGAGTGGGCCTGTGAAATTGCAGGTTACTTTTCAGCAAAATCCTTTTTTAAAAAAAGCATCCCAACACCTGCTCTGATTTGGGTAGGTCCTAAAGAAAAAAATGTAGCTTGTAAGAATTGAGGTCTTAATCGTTAGAAGTATGAACAGTTTACCAGAGCCATATATTGATTTTTCTTCCCTTCACATTTTATTTTGATTGCAGACTCTTAGCTCCGGAGTGTGAAATAATCCAAGATTTGGGACAACTTTATCCATTTGAACTGGTTTTAGGAATGAATGGGAGAATTTGGGTGAAAGCCAAAACAATTCAACAGACTTTAATTGTGGCAAATGTCTTAGAAGCCTGTGAACACATGACTGCAGAACAGAGGAAACAAGCCGTTTCCAAGTTGTTAGACAACTGATGGGAAGGAATTTTAAATAGATATTCTTATGTGGAAATGATGACCCAGAAATGCATTTTTAAATATTTTTTATATTTAAGGCAATAAATGTTAACAGTTCAAATACTTTTTTTTTATTCTGCATCTTTTGCTCTTGAGTTTGTTTTGTAACAAATTATGTCTGCTTGTGGCAGACTGTGACTTGTAGTGCACTTTTTGTAAAAGTATGCATACTTCAGACTTTTATAACTTAGTCAGTAGTATTTGCAAAACAAAGGCATCCTCCCTTTGGTCTGTTATTTTATTCTCACTGTATTTTTAGTGACTTGCAGCTTGATTGAGTTGTGAATTACTTTTTGCCAGCTCTACTTGATGAAGCTGTGAAAAATAAAGAAAAAGGTTTGTATCAATGAAAGAAGTGGCTTATGCCTTGATTGCTTTTTCCAGAAAGAGCTGATTTTGTTGCACTTTCCATGAGAAATGTGTGTGTTTTTTAAATTTTATATACCAGGGGTGGCCAACTCCCAAGAGACTGCGATCTACTCACAGAGTTAAAAACTGGCAGAATTAAAACCTGGGGGTTCAGGTCAAAGATGTTG